AAAAAGTTTGAGTCCTTAGTACAGGTCTTGACATACTCTAAATAGTATTTTCAGCTGAGCATTCTCTCCCTGTTTAGAAAATAACTCAAGTGTTAAGGGCTGGGGTTGTGGCTCAGCGGTAGAGTGCTTGCCTTGCACGTGTAAGGCCCTGGGTTCGATCCTCAGCACCACATAAAAATAAATAAATAAAATAAAGTTATATTTAAAAAAACTCAAGTCTTTATGATAGCCCTGTGAGTGGTAATATTAACCCCTTTCTACACATTAAAAAAAAAAAATCCAAGCCCAGATTTTATAGCAGCTCAGGGCAACAGCTAAAACTTGAAACTGTATCTTGGATTTTTCTCTGGAAATGGCTTCTCTCTTGGTATTTCTCTGGAAATGAAGCCAGTCTCTTGCTGTTTTTCACCTCTATCCCCCCACCTTGCCACCAGTATTGCTCTCTCAGAAGCAACCCCAGCTGATCCAGGTCCTCCATCTGTTGTGCAGGTGCGTGGTGTCCTTTCAATGTCTCTTCTGCAGGGCTGCCTTCTCAAGCTTTGCTGGGAGTTTCAGAGTCCTCGCTTGACTGTTAGGAGTTCTGCAAAGTCTCCGAATACAGGGAGGTTGGGAGGGTCTCTGTTCCTTATTCTTGACTTCACTCAGCCTCTTTCCTCCTTTTGGTAGTGGGGAGTAATTAGCAGTCATAGAGGATTTTGTCAGGGTTTCAAAAACATTCTGGCTGCTCTGTGGTCTCAGTGGTAAGGGATTTATTTTAACTGCTCATTTTCCAGAGTTATTTATTGGAATCATATTTTTAAAAAGAAGCACATTGATCTAAGATGTAACTTGGGCTCTAGAGCATGAAGGCCTGAGTTTTGGTTATTGTCCCATTAATTACTAGGACTGGAACCTTGACAAATGCCCCCTAACTTCTTTACCTCAGTTTCCTCATTTCCTCATCTGTCATATGGTAATGATCATAATGGTGTCCACCTTGTGGGGCATGTAAAGATGAGTGTTAGGCCCTCAGCATAGTGCCTTGCCTGTGGTAAGAGCTCAGTAGTGTCTGCTGCTGCTCATTTTCGAGGAGCAGTGAGGCAGGTTGCAGGTGTCTCTAAGGACAATTTGCAGGGGGTGGGGACAGCAGTTCTTTCCCCTTCACCATTGGGTGAACAGCAGGGACAGATGTTCTTAACCTTTTAGGACACTCCAATGTCCCTCTGATTCCTTTGGCTTCTATTTCATGGGGCCTCTAGGCTGCACTTTTACTTATTTTCTCTAACCTGAAGATGGGTAAACCTAAAACCTCTTACTAAAAGGGAATCAAAGAACATACTCTCATTTAGATAGTTCAGTTTTACCTTATAGTTTTATATTTTATATTTACGAAGGTTTGTTTTGTTTTGATGGGGGAGGGGGTAAGGGAGGAGGATTTAGATCAATCAGAGGGAGAATTATTAACCAAGAGTGCATAAATGGGCTTCACAGTGTCTTTGAATCCTCGAAAATTATTAAGGTTTGAGAGAGTGTCTGTGTGCGCGCGCACACGCATGTAGTTGAATATTTTTAAGGAGATTTTTTTTGTTGTTGTTTTTTGTACCAGGGATTGAATCCAAGGGCATTTAACCACTGAGCCACATCCCAGCTCATTTTATTTTGAGACAGGTCTCACTAAGTCGCTTAGGGCCTTTCTAAGTTGCTGAGGCTGGCTTTGAACTTGCAATCCTCCTGCCTCAGCCTCCTGAGCCACTGGGATTATAACTATGTGCCACCATGCCTGGCTCGGGGGCATTTCTTTCATGGCTTTTACCTTCTCAAAGGACCCAAAAAGGGGAAAGTGTTTTTCAGGTATCATTTAGTTCTTCAGTAACTCTTAAAGCAATTTTCTAAATTTCAAACATTGAGAGGGAGGTTGGAAGAATTAATGCAGTGCTCACTCAAATCCTTGGTATCTAGAGTGGTTTTTTATTTTTTGTTTTAAGTGGGGCTGGGGATTGAACCCAGAGCACTTACTCTACTACTGAGCTACCCTACCAGCTTCACTACCTCATCTTAATGGTTATATTTCACCATATTTGTTCTAGATAGATAGATAGATTGATTGATCCTGTGAACCCTTTGAAAATAAGTTTTAGACATCTTCACTTTTCTCCTGGACACATCTCAGCATGCATTTCCTAAGGTTAAGGATATTTTCCTATATAACTACAGTATTATTATACCTACAAATATTTGTGATAATTCTTTACTACTTAAGTTTCACCTGTTACCCCAAAATATCTTAGAGCTTTTTTAAAAATTCTGATCCAGTCTTAAGTTTTCATATTGCACTTGTTTATTGTTGCTTTAATCACTCTTAATTTAGAATAGTCTTCTGCCTCCTACTTTTTATTTTTATTCATTTATTTTGCAAGATTGAGAGTTGAACGCAGGGCCTCGAGCATGCTAGTCAAGTGCTCTAACACTGAGGTTTTCCCTCTCCCTTTTTAAAAATTTATTTTGTTAAGTTGCCCAGGCTTAAATTTGTCATTTTCCTGAGTAGCTAGTGTTAGCCTCCTTAGTAGCAGGCATGCACCACCAGGCCTGCCTTTATATTTACTTTTATTTTTTTGTGGTGCTGGGGACCAAGTCCAGTGCCTTGCACATGTTAGACAAGCACTCTAACCACTGAGATACATCCCTAGTGTCCCTACCTGTTAAATGACATTAATTTTTGAAGAGACTGGGTTAATTGTTGGATAAAATGCCTCATCTTCTGAATTTTTCTTGCCATCTGTTTCCTCCCTTTCCTATAAAGGCAGCCATTTACTGAGCACACATTTTTCTAATAAGGCCTACCTTTACTCTTATTGTTTGGCATGGCAAGGGTGGGTCATTGGCCCTTCTGTGAACACATGGTCTGGGGAAAACATGTAACAAGCCTTAACACCTGAGATCAGTCATTCCAAAGTATAATGGGGTGGGTGTCCCTGAGATGTGCCAGAGGACAATTCTTAAAAGATGTTGGGAGCAGGTTCCAAAAAGTCATGAACTCTGTGCCAAGATTAGATTTCGTCTTGGAGGCTTTAGGAAGTTATTGTAGCATGTTCTTTTTAGATTATAGTATTTCTTTATTTTTTTTTGGGGGGGGGTACAGGGATTGAACTCAGGGGCATTCAATCACTGAGCCAGATTTCCATCCCTATTTTGTATTTTATTTAGAGACAGGATCTCTCTAAGTTGCTTAGTACCTCGCTTTTGTTGAGGCTGGCTTTGAACTCAAATCCTCTTGCCTCAGCCTCTGGGATTATAGGTGTTCGCCACCATGCCCAGATATTTTTTTTAATATACCTTTATTTAATTTATTTATTTTTATGTGGTGCTGAGAATCGAACCCAGTATCTCACACGTACTAGTCAAGTCTCTACCACTGAGCCACAGCCCCAGCCCCAATATTTCTCTTTAGAAATCATATTTCTTAAGATATCACTAACCTGAGATAAGAGTGTTTTGGGTTTATTTTTTCAGAGAGAGAGAGAGAGAGAGAGAGAGAGAGAGAGAGAGTGTGTGTGTGTGTGTGTGTGTGTCAGAAGGATTGAAAGCCAGGAGTGACATTAGAGTTGTATTAGAAAGATAGTTCAAGCCTGGGTTGGGATGGGTTTGAATAGGTGGATTGTCCAGGCCAGAGGTGGCAGGGGAACAGAGGAAAAAGCTCACAGATACAGGGAATTTCAGAAACCAAATGAACAGAAGAGTGAATTAGACTCAGTAACTGGATGGTGCTGTAATTAATTCTGCAATACCTCCCTTCTATCTGTCCTTCTGCTCCCTTTGCCTGCTAGAACAGATAGAAGCTGTCATACAACCTTGTAGGTTTCTGCCCGGCTAGTTCCTTAGTAGCCAGCCGTGAAAAAGGACCACAGGAAAGTTGGGCAGGCTACAGACATGCTGTGAGAGAAATGTGCTACTAGACAGCCTTTCTCAGCTTCCTCCCTTTTTCACCTCACATGCCTTGGCTAGGGCCTCAGCTTGAGTTGATCATTAATGTCCTTTGTGGAACTGGTAGGTCTGGCCCCCAGAATTTGAACACACCAGGCAACAGGTATTGTAGCAGGGGTGGTTCCAACTGCCTTATCTTTTTATCTTAGTTGAACAAGGGACTGTTTGGTTCAGGCCTCTAGGCTGGTGTGCATGCTCACCCTCTAGAAAGGTTTTGAGGGCTGGGGTTGTGGCTCAGTGGTAGAGCACTCACCTATCACTTGCAAGGCCCTGGGTTCAATCCTCAGCACCACATAAAAATAAATAAATAAATGAATGCATAAAGGTATTGTGTCCAACTACAACTAAAATAAATAAATATTTTAAGAGTTTTTTTTTTTTTTTTAAAGAAAGAAAGCTTTTGAGGTGGTGAGTACTGTTGTGGGCAGGTATGCCAGTCCCCTCTCTGATGTGGGCAGTCTCTGCAGACAGGACACTGCAGATCACCTATTTCTATGGTGCACTTTCCCAGAAAGGAAAATAGGAAGGTGAGGAAAGCTTTGTACTCTCACTGTTGTTTGGTGCCTCTTGCCTACATGTGCTTAGAGTTATGGTTGTCACTCCAGAACAAAGCAAGGCCCAATTCTGGAGGGAGGTTTGAGTTTGTGAGTTTGTGACCCTTTAGGGGATTCTCCTAGGGTCCCATTTCAGCCGGCTAAGTTGCCTGGCTTTTTGAGCTGGCAGAATCCTGGACTTTGTAGAGCAGGCCACAGCAGTATGAGGACCTGCTAGGGTACTTACGTAGGGTGTGTAGTCTTATTTTCCACTGTGATCTAAGGAGGAGGAGATTGCTTGCTCAGCATCTTATGCTGCCCATTGTTGAAGGTAGAGTTCCCTGGTGGGCTGGGAGACAAGCTTGCAGTTATGGGTCTGGACTTGATTGTATATCCTAACTGATGATTGCCCAGATCACAGGGTGGGGGGAGTGTGTGTGTGTGTGTGTGTGTGTGTGTGTGTGTGTGTCTTATCTCACTAGCTTGCATTTTTCTTTGTCTTTTTAGTTTGTCCTAAAGAATTATGGAGAGAACCCAGAAGCCTACAATGAGGAACTGAAGAAGCTGGAGTTGCTCAGACAGGTAAGATGATGGTATTTTTAGGTAGTCATGATCATTGATAGAGAGGTAAAGAAAACACCTAGAACTGTGGTCTTATTTTTTTCCTCTGCAAAAGCAGTGAAATTGATAGTAGAAACATTCGCAAATACTAAAAACAAAAATAAAATCTTTTTTAATGTTTTTTAGTTTGTAGACAGATACAATACCTTTATTTTATTTAACTGTTTTTTTATGTGGTGCTGAGGATCGAACCCAGTGTCCCACACATGCAAGGCAAACACTCTACCAACTGAGATACCACCGCAGCCCCCAAAATAAAATCTTAAAACACCTTTTTATAATTTTTTTGTACATTAGTTGGTCCTCTATGTCTATGGGTTCCACATCTGCAGATTCAATCAACTACAGGTTGAAAATATAGTTAAAACTTCCGTGGTTGAGTCTGTACTGAATAAGTAAAGACTTTTTCTCTTGTCTTTATTCCCTAAAAAGTAGTAACAATTATTTATATAGCATTTACATTGTATTGGGCATTATAAGTAATCTGGAGATGATTATGTGGAGGAAAATACCATGCGTTTCATATAAGGGACTTGAGCGTTCTCAGATTTTGGTATCTGCAGATATACTGGAACCAATCCCTTGTGAATACTGAGGGACACTATATATATATAATATAAAATCACTGTAGGATTCTGTTCACCACCTGTACTGGTTTGTAACCTGCCTTCTTTACTTGATAATCTATGACTATGTCCTGTATCAATGAACATATGATAAGAGTATTTTAAATGACCTGTGACCATTATATTGCCTTATAATTTAACCTGCTTCCTCTTGAGAATATTAAACCATTTCAACTTTTCATCATTGTAAAAAATATCGTTATATTTTCTGTGCATATGTGGGCCTTTCTAGGACCCTGTCTCAAGGAGTTGGTGAGACCTTGTTTCAAAATAAAAAATAGAGGTAGCGCACTCGCCTGGCATGCGTACGGCCCGGGTTCGATCCTCAGCACCACATACAAACAAAGATGTTGTGTCTGCCGAAAACTAAAAATAAATAAATAAATAAATATTTTTTTTAAAAAAAATTCTCTCTCTCTCGCTCTCTCAAAAATAAATAAATAAATAAATAAATAAATAATAGAAAGGGCTTGGGATGTATCTCTGTGGTAAAGCACCCCTGGGTTCAATCCCTGGTCCACCCCCCACACACACACAGGAAAATAAAATGCGCATTTAAATCTAATGATGTAATATCACTGGAAATCAGATTCATCCCTTTCCTGGGATTTGCTGACTTTTGTGGGTTTTTTCCTGGTTGTTGTAGGCTGTTTCTGTGCCATGGATCAACCTGAGGTGTTAACTGAAGGTCGTCTTAGGTCTTTTCTGAGCCTGTGCGTTTCCCTGGGCATGTGTGGTGATTTTCAGATTTCCCCTATATGGGTGATTACTTTTGGACATTCTACTCTTCACTATATGGCTTCCATAAGAGGAAAAAGCGAAGTATGAAGTGTTGCTGGATAGGAAGAAGGTACTTCAGCTAGAGGTGGAGGTGCTTCCAACAGTGGAGGGAGGTGTAGTAACAATGGCTTCTGCCTCTGTGCATCTCTGTGATCAGAACCAGCAATAGGAGCACATTATCTCCTGTGTTTGCAGAATAGAATCCTTTTTGCCCACCCTGGTTCCCACAAGATGTTCTTGGAACTACGTGTAACTGCCTGCTAGGTGCTGGGGGTGGGGAATAGATGGCTGCTACTGTGCTAGGAGCTGAAATTAACCACAATTTACTGTCCCACCCTTCCCTTGGAGGTTGTAAGCCTTTACTATTTAATAGCCTTCTGAATTCTGAGGTAGTCACTTAAAGCAGATCTGATCTGCCAGTTTGTTATCTAGGTCTGGAGATGGATTTCTGGTGTTTCTTTATTCCACTATCTTCCCAGAATCATCTTCAAATTGAATTTTAACAAAATTTATTTGAACAAAGTTTGAAAACTAGTAAAATAATCTTAATCCTTAGGATTAGCACCATTTTGCATGCATTAGACATATACAAACAGCACAGGAGTAACATTGTCACCCATCTCCAAAGCCTCTGAGCAGAGGACAGCGGCTTATACAGAGCAGTGGGCTGGAGAGAGCCACCCCCAAGAGACCTGTACTGCCTGGGCACAGCCTCCTGGGCCTGGGCTCATTCCTGGGAGTTGAACTGGATCAGTGTTTCTTAAACCCGTGAGACCACAGGACAACATTTTGTATTAGAATACTGATGATTATTCCCAGAGTCAGCAATATATAAAAGTAAAAACTAAATGAGCAATTTTAGAATTAACATGGGTCTGGTTTTTAATGAGTAAGAGAAAGTGTGTCACAGCCCAGATATGTACAAAGCAGAAACAGCAAAAGTCAAGTTGTCCCTTTACCATAACTCAGTGATTTGTAAAGGAACAAGGGAAGGTGGGTGTAATTTGGGAATCTTTTCCCCTGATGTAAGCCTCTGTTTCCTCATTTGTAAAACTGGGATTGGATTAGCTGTTTCTAAGAAGACTTCCCTTTTGTAACTGTTAAATCCTTAACTTTGATATAGGGAATAAAATTGTCAGGTGCAAGGGTGATGTGGGGGTGGCACCAGTCAGAGTCTGCTCTCCAACTCCTGCACTGCTGTGCTCACCACACGAGGCTTGTCAGAGTAGCCTCTGACAAGAGGATCCTTCATGCTTGGTTGGGTAACACTGTGTGAGTGGATCTGTCTGACCTGGAAGGGGAATTCTTTTCATTGTTCCCCAAAGGTGGTTTTAGGAGGTAGAAGACAAATACTTTTTACTTTAGTATTTTTGTATATGCTTTAGTGAGTATTGAAAAGTGGGTAGCTAGCACACTAGACCTGTTATTTCAGAGCTCTTACTGCTTAGGAAATAGATCTGATTTTTAAAATGGGTTGATTTAAAGAAAAATGTTAAGTACAAGTGGGGTTTGAATGTGTAGAGGTCATGAGAGAGGGTGTGATAAGAGTGAATAGATTTGAGAAGCCCTGGCCTGTGGGACAAACCCCTGAAGTGACTCCTCAGCTGAGTGACTGTGACACGCCTCATCCTCACATTGGGCATTCTAGAGGCGTCGCAAGGGAGATTATCCTCCTGTGTAAAGGGGAGATAGCCTCCTAAGACACTGCCAGGAAGTGGTGGAGAGTGGGGCTAGTGAGGGGCTCTCTGCTGTCCCACAGGGCAAATGCTTTCCTTGAGAGCATCCTGTCTGGCATCCCAAGCCGAGCTCCCCAGTAGGTGTCCCAGAGGATTCTTGTAGCTGGTGCTGGCCAGCCTGACCTCTTGGCCCCACTGCTGTGGCACACCAATGAGGAACTCTGGTCTTCTCAGCAGGGTGGGGCAGGGCGGCCCAGGGTTTGCAGTGCTTCTGACCCAGCCCCTCATTGGGCACCTGCTCCTTGGAGGGTGTATTGTCTTGCTTTTCTGTTTGAGCAGGGTATTCATTTGCTCTCCCCCACCCCAAATGTGAAACATTTGTTATTATAAATAATCAAATATATGTCTCCATAAGGCACATATCCATTTTTATATTTACATATATAGATAAATCACTTTAATCACAGATAACTGTTTAACATTTGGGTGTCACTTTCTGAATCTTTTCCTTTTGTCAGCATACCTGTTTGGATATCATTATATATGTGATTTTACATAAATGAGATCATACCAGTCATTTATGACATGCTTTTGTTGCCTAATAGTAGGCAGAAAACATTTTTTTTTTTTTTAATTTATTTACTCAGGATCAAACCCAGCGCCTTGCCTGTGCTAAGGGAGTGCTGTACTGCTGAGCCACAATCCCAGCACAAAACATCTTAATGTATCAATAGTTCTTATGTTTGTAGAATGTTCACTCGTATGGTTAGTTAGCCTCAATATAATTTATTTAAGCAAATTCTTTAATGGAAAGTTTGGTAGCATCTAGTTTTTTACTCTGGTAATATATAATAATGTTGTGATGAATATCCTAGAATGCACATCCAAATACTTGGTTTCCCTGATGTCTTGAACTGTAAGTCAAAAGTTAGGGGCTGGGGATATGGCTCAAGTAGTAGCGCGCTCGCCTAGCATGCGTGAGGCACTGGGTTCGATTCTCAGCACCATATAAAAATAAAATATATGTGTCCACCTAAAGCTAAAAAAAGAGTTAAGTACAATAAAAATTTTATAACATGTTGCAACCAGCCTTCTAGAAACATGGCAGTAATTGGGGATTGAACCCAAGTGTGTTCTACCACTGAGATACATTCCCAGCTCTTTTTTTTTTTTTTTTTTGAGACAAGGTCTTGCTAAGGCTGGCCTTGAACTTGTGATCCTTCTGCTTTGCCTTCCAAGTTGCTGGGATTACAGGCCTGTGCCACCATGCCTGGATGATGTATATTTCTTGGTATTTGTGGGTGAGCTGGCCTCCCCATCCTGTACCCTAAATGACAGCAATTCTGTTTTTCCCATTCTGACCCGCAGAATGCTGTCCGTGTCCCACGGGACTTTGAGGGCTGCAGTGTCCTCCGAAAGTACCTTGGCCAACTCCACTATCTGCAGAGTCGGGTGCCCATGGGCTCGGGTCAGGAGGCTGCTGTCCCTGTCACCTGGTGAGAGCTAGCAGGCAGGGTTGGGTAGTTTGGAAGCCTGGGGGGTTGTGGCTCCTTTCCTCCCTTCCCCTTTCTTCTTGATGCAGAGGATGGCAAGCAGCCTAGTATGGTCTCCCCAGGCCTCACCTCTCTGATCCCACACTGGGGTAGTTAGGCCCTGGCCAACTCCTGCCTTCTAGATGACTGAGTTGTCATGTCTATAGGACTGAGATCTTCTCAGGCAAGTCTGTGGCCCATGAGGACATCAAGTATGAGCAGGCCTGCATTCTCTACAACCTTGGTGAGCTGCCTGATCCTTTCCCCATAGGCCCTGCTCCCCAGCCCTGCGATCATCAGGTGACCACAAAGGCCATGGCTAGTGAGGGGGAAGATACTTGGGTTCTGGCCCTTCCATTGACTTCACCAGAGCTCTGCCAGCTCTCTGCTATTTTCTGGGCCCATGGGGAGTCACTGTGCTGGCTGTTACACAGAGCTGCCACTGTGTGCTCTGTGGTTAGGAGAGATGGCCTTTCTTCTTTGACTGACAGCATTCCCTCCCCCTCATGGCATGGCCTTGGCTTACCCAGTGGGTTATCCTTATCCTGGTTCAGGGAGAGGCATGGGGAGCCCTAGAACTCTGTGTAGCATCCCTGAAGCTTCAAGATGAATCCCTAGGCTGTGGACAGGAGTTTCCTTCCCTGTCCACCTGCCAAGTGCAGAGCTAAAGACAGAAGACCTGGCAAGGCTTCTGAGCTTCCTCTTTGCTCTAGCTTGGGTGTCTTTGCACTGACTGCTCCAGTCTCAGACCTGTTCTCCTGATTAAGATGACAGACCTTCTGCCTCACCCTCCACACAGGCATGGGCAGCCTGGGGAAGCAGCCCTAAGCTCTCCTCACACCATGTTCTCTGCCTCCCCAGGTGCACTGCACTCCATGCTGGGGGCCATGGACAAGAGGGTGTCTGAGGAGGTGAGGAGGGGGGCAGTGGCGGGACATGTACATTTTGAATGACTCCTGTCCCATGGGATTAGACAGAAGCCCTCTTCCTCCTCCTCCTTTGCAGGGCATGAAGGTCTCCTGTACCCACTTCCAATGTGCAGCAGGTGCCTTTGCCTACCTGCGTGAGCACTTCACACAGGCGTACAGTGTTGACATGAGCCGCCAGATCCTCACTCTCAATGTGAACCTCATGCTGGTAAGTGCCCTGTTGAAAATGAATTGAATCCAGAAATGGCCAAAAGGGGCTGAATCTGCCATGCACAAGTGGCAGTAAGAGACAAGCAGGGTCCTTGGCTTTGGTCTGTTGAGCTCTAGGTGGATCAGGCACAGGACAGTGCTTCTTGGGGTAGGGGAGGACAGCAAAGAAAGGGATCCTTTGGTTTTCCCACTCACTGCCCTAGGGAGGGGAAAGACTTCCGGGTGACCAAGGGATTGACTTGCATGTATCACCCCAGGGCCAGGCTCAGGAGTGCCTGCTGGAGAAGTCGATGTTGGACAACAGGAAGAGCTTTCTCGTGGCTCGCATCAGTGCACAGGTAGAGAGGGGACTAAGCATGGGTCTTTGCTTTGCCCCTGACCCCCACCAAGTAACCCTATCCTGGCTCTGAGGTGGTGGATTACTACAAGGAGGCGTGCAGGGCCTTGGAGAACCCTGACACTGCCTCACTGCTGGGCCGGATCCAGAAGGACTGGAAGAAACTGGTGCAAATGAAGATCTACTACTTTGCAGCTGTGGCTCATGTGAGTATGAGGGGTCACTGAGTCTGGGTTGGGCCAAGGTGCCACGGCTCAGGAAACAAGTCATGGTGCCTCCTCTTTCCAGCTGCACATGGGGAAACAGGCTGAGGAGCAGCAGAAATTTGGAGAGCGGGTGAGTGGGCTTTGGTGAGCAGAACACTCAGGACCTGTCCAGCCTTATTGGATCCTAGTTTGGTTCCATCCCTTACAGAATGGGGGAGGTGGTCTCTCTCCAACCTGCTATTGCCCTGCTGTAGGCATGGTGTGTCTTAATGTTGTCCCACCAGTGCAGCCCTCTTCCCTAAGGTTCTCAGGAGGCCTGGCAGGCTCCCCAGAGAGGGAGGCTATTTGGACTGTAAGCTGTAGGGTGATGCTACCTTGGTGCTATTTTCTGGGCTAACACATAGCTTCCTGGCTTCTGATGGTTGGTTGCCTGATGGCCAGGGTGAGTAGGGAGGCACACTAAGGACCAGGCAAAGACAAGACTAGGGTTTGCCCTCCACAGGTGGCCTACTTCCAGAGTGCCCTGGACAAGCTCAATGAAGCTATCAAGTTGGCCAAGGTAAAGCTGAGGAAGGTCTGGCAGCCTTGCGCACACACGGAGAAGGCCCATTGGGTATTCTGGCACTGGCCTTGGTTAGTGCTGATGCCCTCTGTCCCTCCTCCACAGGGCCAGCCTGATACTGTGCAGGATGCACTTCGTTTTGCTATGGATGTCATTGGAGGAAAGTGAGTCTGTGGGGTTGAGGTGGTCCGATTTCCTCTTATTATAAAGGTCTTGTTTCTCTGCCTGTGACCTTGGGAGGAAGCCACCAGTGCCAGGGAACAATAATCCAAATGGGAGTCTGTAGGTTGTGGGTCTCCACTGACCCCTGATTCTTCCTCTCTTCATTGCTGACCCTCAGATATAATTCTGCCAAGAAGGACAATGACTTCATCTACCATGAGGCAGTCCCAGCACTGGACACCCTTCAGCCAGTGAAAGGTCTGGGAAGTAGTGTCAGGGGAGGTGTAGGGGGGATGGACTGATGGCAGCTTTGGGGTCTGTGAGCCAGAGCTCCACAGTTCTTTCTCCATCTTCCAGGAGCCCCCTTGGTGAAGCCCTTGCCGGTGAACCCCACAGACCCAGCTGTTACAGGTCCTGACATCTTTGCCAAACTGGTACCCATGGCTGCCCATGAGGCCTCATCACTGTACAGGTGGGTGGGATGGGCTGCCCCTGCCCTTGGCAGAGGTGGCTGGGTGTCTCAGAGATATGGCTCATAACTTTCTCCACAGTGAGGAGAAAGCCAAGCTGCTTCGGGAGATGATGGCCAAAATTGAAGATAAGAATGAGGTCCTTGAGTAAGTATGAGACTTGGGGCTGGGGACAGGGAAGACACATCAGGCATTGTGGGGGTTCCAGTGTTGCCTGTGAAAGGGAGAGGTGTGAGGTCTCAAATATCTGCACCACAAGATTTCTTCACCCTGCCTTCCTGCTTGGGGCTTGTGGGGTAGATCATAAGGTATCTTGTCTTGGAGGGAACACGTCCCTTCCATTTCACTGTGTCCAGCAGTGCTTGTGGATTCACATTTTGGCAGAGGCTGGGGGTAGTGACTTGCTGTGCCCAGCGTCAGTGGAGGGGGTTATCCTAGCAGGCCCCTTTGACATGGAATTGGGTCAGCACTCAGCACCCACCTGGCCCTGTTGCCCCCTAGCCAATTCATGGATTCAATGCAGCTGGATCCTGAGACAGTGGACAACCTCGATGCCTATAGCCATATCCCACCCCAGCTCATGGAGAAGTGTGCGGCACTCAGCGTCCGGCCTGACACTGTCAAGAACCTTGTTCAGTCCATGCAAGGTGAGCAAGTGGCAAAGTAGGCAGGTGGAGGGGGACCACGCATATCATCTGTTGTGGCCTCATCTCTATGGCCCATTCACTGAAGATGGAGGCTGTATCTTCTTAAGTCCTGGCCCAGGCATCTACCCTCACACCCTTGTGGATCACTGAACCCTATGTCTGTGGAGTTCAGCATGCCTGGGCCACACACTGGCCCTGGCCTGAGTGGGCAGTTCTGTCTGGGGAGCCTGGTCTACCTGCCTCAGGGGCTGCTCCCCCAATACACCCCAGTGTTGTCAGGCGTGTTCACGGATGTGGAGGCCTCCTTGAAGGATATCAAGAACCTTCTGGAAGAGGATGAACTGCAAGAGCAGAAGTTGCAGGAGGCAGTGGGCCAGTCTGGGGCCAGCCCAGCTGTCACCAAAGCTGAGCTGGCAGAAGTGAGGCGAGAATGGGCCAAGTACATGGAAGTGCACGAGAAGGCCTCTTTCACCAACAGCGAGCTGCACCGTGCCATGAATCTGCATGTCAGCAACCTGCGCCTGCTCAGTGGGCCACTGGACCAGGTCCGGGCTGCCCTGCCCACACCAGCCCTCACCCCAGGTGAGTCTGCCTGTCACTGTAGGAAGAGGCTCAGACCATGGGGGTTCTTTGGCCTCACTGACTACTGCTGCCCCCAGAGGACAAGGCTGTGCTGCAGAACCTGAAGCGCATCCTGGCCAAGGTGCAGGAGATGCGGGACCAACGCGTGTCTCTAGAGCAGCAGCTGCGTGAGCTGATTCAAAAGGATGACATCACTGCCTCTCTGGTCACCACAGACCACTCAGAGATGAAGGTATGCTGAGTGAGCAGGGTGGAGGGGTTTTGCTTCTGGGCTTGTCTCTTAGATGGTGAGGCCCTGAGTGTCCCTCCCTCCCTCCTTCCCTCAGAAGCTGTTTGAGGAGCAACTGAAGAAGTATGACCAGCTGAGGGTATACCTTGAGCAGAACCTGGCTGCCCAGGACAACGTCCTTCGTGCACTGACTGAGGCCAATGTGCAATATGCAGCTGTGCGGCGGGTGCTTAGCGAACTGGACCAAAAGTCAGTTGTCTGGCTGTACTCTGGTCTCTGCCCTACCAGGAGCTTGGCCCTAGTGGTATGCTTCATTTCTGCCCTTCTGCCTGCAGGTGGAACTCTACACTGCAGACCCTGGTGGCCTCATATGAAGCCTATGAGGACTTGATGAAAAAGTCACAGGAGGGCAAGGACTTCTATGCAGACCTGGAAAGCAAGGTGGCTACCTTGCTGGAACGAGCACAGTCTACCTGCCAGGCCAGAGAGGCCGCCCGCCAGCAGCTCCTAGAGAGGTGGGTATGGCCCAGGCTGTGGCATGGATTGACCTCCTAAGGGCTGGTCTTACTTCCCTGCTTATCCCACAGGGAGCTGAAGAAGAAGCCGCCACCACGGCCTACAGCCCCAAAGCCACTGCTACCCCGCAGGGAGGAGGGTGAGGTGGTGGAGACAGGAGACCCCCCCGAGGAGCTGCGCAGTTTGCCCCCTGACATGATGGCTGGCCCACGGCTGCCTGACACCTTCCTGGGAACTGCTACTCCACTCCGCTTTCCTCCCGGCCCCTTCCCCAGCTCCACAGGCCCAGGACCTCACTATCTCTCAGGCCCCTTACCCCCTGGCACCTACTCAGGCCCTACCCAGCTGATGCAGCCCAGGGCTTCAGGCCCCCCTGCAATGCCCATGGCACCTGGGCCTGCTGTCTACCCAGCCCCTACCTACACACCGGAGATGGGCCTTGTGCCCCGGTCCTCCCCACAGCATGGTATTGTGAGCAGTCCCTATGGGGGGGTAGGGCCACCCCCAGCAGTTGGTCTGCCTTCAGCCCCACCTCCCCAGTTCTCAGGCCCCGAGTTGGCCATGGCAGTTCGGCCAGCCACCACCACAGTAGATAGTGTCCAGGCCCCCATTTCCAGCCATGCTGCACCCCGGCCAAACCCCACCCCCACTCCTTCCCAGCCATGTTTCCCAGTTCCCCCATCACAGCCCCTGCCCCCACCCTACACCTACCCTATAGGAACCAAGCCACCCCTCACAGCACCCCCATCTCAGCACCATTTTCCTCCTGGCATCCCAACAGGGTTTCCAGCCCCCAGGATTTCACCCCAGCCTCAGCCTCCACAGGCAGCATTTGGACCTCAGCACCCCCAGCAGCCCCTTCCATTCCAGCATCCACACCTCTTCCCACCCCAGGCATCAGGACTCATACCGGCACAACCCCTATACCCTTTCACCTCTCAACCTGGTGTCAGCCTGGGGCAGCCACCACCCCCCATGCACACCCAACTCTACCCAGGCCCTTCTCAAGATCCTCTGCCCCCACACTCGGGGGCTTTGCCTTTCCCCAGCCCTGGGCCACCTCAGCCTCCCCATCCCACCCTGGCATATGGTCCTGCCCCATCTCCCAGGCCCCTGGGCCCCCAGGCAGTCCCCCTCTCCATTCGAGGTCCTCCACCTACTGGCCAGCCCACTCCTAGTCCCCACCTGGTGCCTTCACCTGCTCCATCGCCGGGGCCTGGCCCCGTACCCTCTCGGCCCCCAGCAGCAGAGCCACCGCCGTGCCTGCGCCGAGGCACTGCGGCTGCAGACCTGCTCTCCTCTAGCCCTGAGAGCCAACATGGTGGCACTCAGCCTCCTGGGGGTGGGCAGCCCCTGCTGCAGCCTACCAAGGTGGATGCAGCTGAGGGCCGGCGGCCACAGGCCCTGCGGCTGATCGAGCGGGACCCATATGAGCATCCTGAGAGGCTTCGACAGTTGCAGCAGGAGCTGGAGTCTTTTCGAGGTCAACTGGGGGATGCAGGAGCTTTGGATGCCGTCTGGCGGGAGCTGCAAGATGCACAGGAACATGATGCCCGAGGCCGTTCCATCGCCATTGCCCGCTGCTACTCACTGAAGAACAGACACCAGGACGTCATGCCCTATGACAGTAACCGTGTGGTGTTGCGCTCAGGCAAGGATGACTACATCAATGCCAGCTGTGTGGAGGGGCTTTCACCATACTGTCCACCCTTAGTGGCCACCCAGGCCCCACTGCCTGGCACAGCTGCTGACTTCTGGCTCATGGTGCATGAGCAGAAAGTGTCTGTCATTGTCATGCTGGTGTCTGAGGCTGAGATCGAGAAGGTGAGAGGGAGTTTAGGTGGATACCCACAAGGGATGGTGGGTGAGGAACTCTGGAAGACTAGCCCTAATGGTTTCATCCTTTCTGCTCTTAAGCAAAAGGTGGCACGCTACTTCCCCACTGAGAGGGGCCAATCCATGGTGCATGGAGCCCTGAGCTTGGCACTGAGCAGTGTCCGCACCACTGAAACCCACGTGGAACGTGTGCTGAGCCTGCAGTTCCGCGACCAGAGCCTCAAGCGCTCACTAGTGCACCTCCACTTCCCCACTTGGCCTGAATTGTACGTGGGTGGTCACAAGGTTGGGGTGGGGGAAGGCAGCCCACCCCTTGGTTCTGTGACGGGCATGTGCCTTGGATCAGGCCTGACTCTTCCATAATGCTGCCTTGCCCCACAGAGGCCTGCCCGACAGCCCAGGTAACCTGCTGCGCTTTATCCAGGAGGTACACACGCATTACCTGCACCAGCGACCCCTACACACGCCCATCATTGTGCACTGCAGGTAGCGGTGGGCAGCCTGAGGGTTCCTCCTTCACGGGCTCTTGGCTTGGCCTTACCCCCTTCTTCTTGCCATAGCTCTGGTGTAGGCCGCACAGGAGCCTTTGCACTGCTCTATGCAGCTGTGCAGGAGGTGGAGGCTGGAAATGGGATCCCCGAGCTGCCTCAGCTGGTGCGGCGCATGCGGCAGCAGAGGAAGCACATGTTGCAGGAGAAAGTGAGTGTGGATGGGTGGCGGCTGGGATGGGCGTGACGGCTTCTGCTCAGCCAACCAGGCCAAATGCATCTCTTCAGCTACACCTCAGGTTCTGCCATGAGGCAGTGGTGAGACACGTGGAGCAGGTCCTACAGCGCCACGGGGTGCCCCCGCCATGTAAAACCTTGGCCAGCATAAGCATCAGCCAGAAGGTAAGGAAGGTTCCCTGGGCTGCTGGGGCTTGTGAATCTCTCTTCTCACCTATTCTGTCTTCTCAGAATCACCTTCCTCAGGACTCCCAGGATCTCGTTCTCGGTGGGGACGTGCCCATCAGTTCCATTCAGGCCACCATTGCCAAGCTCAGCATCCGGCCCCCTGGGGGCTCGGATTCCCCTGCTGCCAACATGTCTGGCCCTGCAGAGCCTCCAGGCCCACCGCCATCTAGCCTCCCAGAGCCAACCCCCATCCCAGTCCCACCACCTTCCTCCCCACCCCCCATTTCTTCACCCTTGCCTGAAGCCCCCCAGCCTGAGGAGGAACAGCCAGTAGCTGAAACCCCCAGCTTAGGGCCCCCCTCCTCCTCCCTGGAGCTGCTAGCCTCCTTGACCCCAGAGGCCTTCTCCCTGGACAGCTCCTTGAGAGGAAAACAGCGGATGAGCAAGCAGAACTTTTTGCAAGCCCATAATGGGCAGGGTCTACGGGCTGCCCGGCCCACTGACGACCCACTCAGCCTTCTGGATCCACTCTGGACACTGAACAAGACCTGAACAGCAGGCTTTGCCTGCCTGGTCCACACACTACGTCATCTCTTCCACCCAAACGCCACAAGACTTCTGTGGGTGGGCACAGTCTCTTAACTCCCATTCCTGCTGCCTTTAGCCCCACCAGGCCCAGCCGGCAGCCTTTTGGGTAGAGATACTTAAGGCCCTGGGCCAGGTTCTGCTCCTTTGTGAGACTTGACATTTTCCAGCTCTTTGCTATTAAATAAACGAACCTGTTCTGCTGTAGTGTCTGAGTCTGCCAACTTGGGACCGAAGCCACTTGTGCTGTCTGCATCGCTGAGGAAGGGAGACAAGTAGCTCAAGCCCCATCACGTGGTTTTTTAAAAAGTTTAATATCGCAGACAGGAACTGCTGCCACAAGACAACTCTGCTCCCGCCCTCAGTACAGGTCCAGTGCGTTGGCCCCTCATAGCACCCCAGCCCTGCTTGGGCAAGAGGCCCCCATGCAGCCAGCTGAGTGGGGGGGTCTCAGCTGCCTGCTCAGTCCAGTTTCTCCAGCACAGAGGGCACATATACCAGGCTGAGCTCGCTGCCAAAGTTGCAGACAATGGCAGCATTGTCCAGCACCAGGATCTGGCGGGCTGGCTGGGCCTCGCTGTTCTTTCCCAGGTAGACTGTCTGTAACAGGTCCCCGTAGTTTAGGTCCCAAAAGGAGACGCAGCCCTGGCCGCCGGTCACCAGCAGGCTATCTGAGATGACACCCAAACTTGCGCCACAGCCCAGGTCCTGAAGGCAAGGCCAGGAGAGGATCAGTGTCTTGAGTCTTCTCTAAAGCACCTGGAACCCTAGGCCCAGCCCCCACCTGCCTACCTGCTGAATGGAGTAGAGTTTGATGCCCGTGCTGCGGTCCCAGATGCTGATGAGGTCATCTAGGCCACTACTGATGACGCAGGAAGTGGTACAGGTGAGGGACGTGATATCCCCACGGTGAGCAAACATGTGGCTGACCCGGCTGCCAGTCAGTACATCCCATAGGCATATGGCCCCATCTTGTCCTCCACTGGCCAGCACCATGGTCTGGGGGAAGAAGCAAGGGAACTGGTTACTACGGGTGGACCACCTTTGTCAATAAGCATGTTCCAGTGGGTGGGGTCGTTACTTCTTCACGGAATAGAAAATAGGACCCTAGCTTTGTCCCTCACCTGGTCAACATACACAGAAGTGATGGCTCCTGAGTGGCCCTGCAGGGTGAAGAGGCAGCAGGAATCTTCCAGACGGAACACCTGGGACAGGAATGAACAAGCTGTCAAGTCTGGGATTTCCTAAGTTACAGTTTGGCCTGGAAGTGCCTCCATCATTCCTGTAGTACTCCAGCACCCCCAAGCCCCAGATACACGCGCACGCACACTACCCACTCTCAGCGTGTGGTCTTGGCTCCCAGTCACCAGGCGCCCTGCAGCAGCTTTCAGGGCTGTGATGGGTTTCTGGTGTGCACAGGGCACTGTGTGGGTGAGGCGAAAGGCCACGGTGTCACTGCTGCTGTACACGGGGGATGAGGAAGAACTGCCTCTCCCTGGAGTCCCTAAAGAAAATGGGCCAAGTGTGTAAAAGGCAGCTGTCTGCACCCCCAGCATCCACCCACCTGCCCCAGACCCTCTGACCTCTGAACTGCAGGGGGCTGAGTGCAGTGTGGGTCTCCAAGGAGAAGAAATCAAGGGAACCGTTGAGCCGAGCAGCCACAATCCTGGAAGAGAATAGCAGGGTGGCTCCCGCTCAGTGAGATGGAAACAACAAAGACAAAAGGCCAGTTCAGGAAGTGACAGGAGGGACTATGACCAAGAGGACAACACAAGGTGCTGAAAATATTTGTTGGAGCCTGAGTGTTTAAATTGTAACTCCTATTATTAGCCTCTCTCTGCCTCTCAGTTTCTTCATCTATGAAACGGGGACAATAGTGCCCACCTCACAGGGTGGCTATGAGATTTAAATGACCTGAATGTGTATGGTGGTACCTAGTGATTGTCACGTCCAGCTATGAATTAAAACAAAAACAAGTGGAGGAGCCCCGGACATTTCTGAGAAGGCAAACAGGACCTACAGCCACAGGGGCTGCTGTCTGTCTCATCATGTAAAAGCAGCTTTGACCTCCACATAGCCCACTGTTCCTTTTTCCATGAAAAAACAAGGATTTTCTTTTCTCCCAAGAATTCCTAGCCATAGGCTGACAGGGATAGGTATGTTTGCCCAGTGGCCCCAAAATTATGGAATGGAGGTTTAAAAAAACACCTTACTCCAGCATGTCTACAACCTGTGCCCATGGGGAGGGGAAAGGGGTGAGGACACAGCCAGCAGGAACCTTTGGGGTGACACAAGACTGCACTTTCCCTAAGAAAAGCAGCAAGGGAGGATTTCTCACAAGCTTGGGGGCAAAGGTCTGCAAGATTCCCAGTGTTGCAGGAAAGAAGGCAGCAGCCAGGGCGGACACCAAGAGAGCTAAGGCGGGTGGGCCTCCCCAACAACAAAGGAAAAATGGCTCCCGCCTACAGGGTGACACCATCTACAGCCAGTCTTTGAAGGACAAGCTGGCTTCCAACAGGTGAAGACCTGTTTGTTGGCCATGGCCTGAGTCCATAAGCTCACAGGTGGAGCCCCTGGGAGTGTGTGTACAGAGAGGAGTCAGGAACACCCTCAATAAGAGGGTGCCAAGGGGCAAGAGGAACAGGAGGGAGGGATGAAAGAGGGGCAGCAGCCAGGACCCAAGTAAGAGTTTTAACAAAGTTGTTCTGAAAATGGATTCTCTGCAAGTAAAAAATGCAGCTGAGACCCAGACAGGTTGGTATGGATCAGGTTCTAAGAAACACTGACTTTGGAAGGGTGAAAAAAAGAACACTGTCCTCACTGCCAGTTGTGACAGTGGCTGTGGGCCCTGTTGCAAGCACATCACACCCCAAAACTCTTATTTAGTCACCACCCCTCTGTACCAGGTGGACAGGTGTGGGGCTGGGCACCAGAAAGGAAGTCAAGTTCCATGCCAGTAGAGGGCAGCCAGGAGCCAGCAGGCAGCCCAGCACTCTTACCTTCTGTCCAGGAAGACCAGGGCTGTGATGCCAGAGGAGCCCTCTTCACTGCTGCAACACAGCACACCCTCAATGGCGTCCCACACCTGCAAGCCAGGAGGGGTGAGTACTACGCAGCAGGAAGGCCTGCGAGCCCTGCTAGGATAGACCCTGGGCTCACCTCCAACCGGCCACTGCTCCGCCCAACCACGATGAGGTTGCCCTGCAGTTCCAAGCTCCATATGGAGCCATCCGCACTGGGGGCCCAGGCAGAAGGGGAGCCCTTCTCAGGAGAGCCCCCTTCGTTCTCAGGGGCTAGAGGCAGCACGGGTCCGGGCGAGGGTGGGCGCAGGGTTGGCGTGCGCACAGTGGCCAGCGGTTCTTCCTGGTACACCCGCTGTACCAGGCGGCTGAAGTCATAACCTGGGACATCCCGAGTGCGGCTGCAACCCGCGCGGTGCCGGGGTTCAGGCTGAGCTGGGTCAGAGGCACGCGGTTGTGCTGAGAAGTTGGTGTCAATTAAGCAAGTGAGGTCTGGCTGGTCCCCAAAAAGGGCAGGTGGTGGAGGGCCTCGAGGGCGGTGTCGCAGTGGGGGGCTGTGTCCGAGCTCCTCCGGGCCAGCCTTCCCGTTGTCTGACAGCCGCTCCCAGCTCTCCTGGGCCTCAAACACGCTGTTGCTGCCACTGTCCCGGCGCTGCCTGTTGGGAGGGGGCCAAGAGGATGGGGTGAAATGGGGATGCACAGCGGGGTCCGGGGCAGAGCACCAGACGACTGAGGACACAAGGGGACAGCACCTACCCCTGGCGCGGGATGCGGGTGATGCAATCTCCGGTCTGTGCGTCCCACACACAGACTCGGCCGGCCAGGCAGCAGCTCACCAGCAGCATGCCATCACTGGCCAGGCACTCGATGTCCTGCAGGAACAGGCAATGTTGGCACAGGCTGTGCCCAGACACGTGGCCCACCCATTCACCCACTGCTCACCATGAGATGGCCACGCAGCACCAGCGGCAGGATCTCCGTCTCAGGCGGCGTGTAGCCATAGTCATCACAGGGCAGTTCCCCGCGCCGCCGTCGACCAGGGCCGGAGCCAGGCTGTCCGTAGTTGCGCGGGCAGAGGACGCGGTAGAGACAGAGCAACAGCAGCACCAGGAGGATGCCAGCGGCCAGCCCCAGTGCTGCCACCCTGTGTGGGAGGGGTGTGAGCCTGGCCTGTCGACCTGTCAAACACCAAGGGCCCACCCCACCTCACCTTGTCCTGTCCTTACTTGTACAAGGTAACGTCACGGTGGGCCTGAACCCCACCAGGCACTCTGGGTTCGCTCTCCCAGAGTCCCATGGGCACTGGCCCAGGTGGGGCCCAGGCGCTGCGGCCATCCTGTGGATGCCGTCCTTCCAGAGCCTCCCTCGGGTTCAGACGCAGTGTGACTGGGATGACTGGCAGCAGGCTGATGTACCTGGGAGCAAGCAGCAGGGACCACTCACTGGTTCTCCTGCCATTGTCCACCAGCCATGTCCCCTCCCTACTCTCCACCCAGGACTACTACTGCTCCCCAACTAGTCCTCTCAGCATGCACGATGGAGACAGGGGTGGACGCTCTGTTCTGGCACCCCAACCCCTGGCTCCCTCCCAGACACTAGCAGCCAAGCAGCCATCAGGGCCATGTAAGTAACTCCCTCACCCTGCCAGGCAGAGTGGGTAAGTCTCCTCTTGCCCAGGGGAAGAAGGAGCAATCACTCCTCAGAGCCAGGACTCAAGGCCCCCCTCTCAAGTGGTGGCTGCTGAGAGCTCCCATTCCCGTATCTCAATCTTGAATTGTTTTATTTGAAATTCAATGCATAATTCAACCCAGTGGACCTCCCACCTGAGGGGGAGGGGTTGGCAAGTGGACCACCAAGTGAGAGGGGCAGCCGGCACAGCCCAGCTCACCTTTTGGCTAGCGTGATGTTGTAGTAGCTGAAGAGCGTGGGCCAGTGGCGAAAGGACAATTTCCTCCACAGTTCCTCATCCTCGGGCCCCCAGGTTACCTCTGGAACTGGGCTGTCATGAACACCCTCTGCTGGACCCATACGCTCAGATGGCTCGCCTGGCAATGTCTGGTTCTCAGGTAGCTTGGGAGCATCAGGTGGAAAGAGGGAGAAGGCAGGATCCGGGTGGCTGGCAGGAAGCATGCCACTAGGCACAGGCATGGGGGCCAGGGCGCCCTCTCCCAGGGGGCTCTGTTCTGTCACCTGGGCAGCAAGGTAGGTACGCAGTCCTGCTGGGTCTGTGTACACCAGGACTCCAATCCAGACAACGGTGCCAGCCTGCAGAGGGGCATCAGGGCTCAGGGACCTCTGGCCTGGGTGTATAGAGAGATCATACAGGCCCTGGCCTGTCCTCTCCTTCTGCCTCCCCAAGTCCCCTCCTAGTGCCACCTGCTGGTAGTTGCTACTGGAGGGGCCTGGAAATCTCTGGAGCACCTTTAGCTTTGACACAGAACTCCCTCAACCCTAACCTCCCCCTCAGCTAGGGCTAGAGAGCTGCCACCACTCCCAGGTCAGCATGGCCAGAGGACCAGTTTGCCTGACCTGCTACGGAGGCCTCAGCCTCACTCCCCTCTCCCTCCAGCTTCTCAGGACAGGTGCTGCCGGCCTGGCCCAGCTGGTGATCTATTTTGCCTAGCATTCTCTGCTGCCTGCAAGTTATACAGCAGCCAAGGAACCACACCCAGGAAATACGATTGCCACATGGTGGTTCCAGTCTAGAGCACTCTGTCTTGCGGGCTCTAGTTCTTGGTCACTTATCTAGCTGATGGCCCTGGAGCTCCTTCTTCCACAGGTGCACAGGTAGGCTTATCTCCTCAGAGACCACCAGGATCTGGGCAGGGAGGGCACAGTGGGCAGCTCCCAAGGCCAGGCTTCAAGGGGCCACTAGGGCCTAAGAAGCACTGCTCCCCTTCAAGGCAAAGGGCGACACCCCAAGGGAATCTAGTGCTGGCATCCCAAAGGGCAGGGCAGGCACGTACCATGATGAGACGCTGTGCCAGGCGGGTACGGGCCAGGAAGTAGATGACACGCAGCCTCTTGGGGAGCCGCAGGTTTCGGAAGGAAGATGGTTGCAGTGTGATGGTATGGGGTGTGGACGGCCGCACAGCTACTTGCCTCTCCTGGCGTGCCGGCCGCCCGCCAGGCTTGGCTGGGGGCAGGCAGGCCTCTGGGGGCAGTCGCTTGTTCAGGTCCGCTAGCTGTGGGGCAATAGTCAGGCCTGAGTGCTGTCCAGAGACTGCCTGTGTGGAAGCACTGCCTAGGCCTGGGGTCTGCCCCTCTCTCACCCAGAGGCTCCCTGGAGGGCGGGAAGGGTGGAACTCAGCCACTCCTACCTCCATTCGGCGAATGTCAATAGACAGGACGGTGGTGAAGAACAGCATCTGGAGGAAGAAGTCAGACACCAGGCCCACGACAGCGAAGAGACAGAACTCCTAGATGAGAGCACACAAGGGGCACCATGACTGCATGGCAGGGAGCCCAGAGAGGCAGCTTCCTGGCTGCAGGCATCTCAGAAACTGCAAGGGAGTGGCAGGAAGGGCACAGGAGAGGCAGAGAGATGCTGATGCTGTGCTCTGAACGCGGAGCAGCCTGGGAGGGAGAGACCAGCTGCTCACCCCATCACCACCAGGGGGCAGCGCAGATCCCTCAACCCTCTCCAAAGGACTGGGAAAGGTGGTGCCCTCCCTGAATCTTCCTGTCCCCAGAGAGAGGAGGGCCTGATCCACCTTGGAAATCTCTGGGCCCATCAGCCTGCTCCCCAAAGCACCCTCCCTCTCACTGAGCCCTGACCCTGATCACATGCCACAAATCTAGCAAAAGTTCAGGGCTGTCCCAATTTCAGGGCTCTCAGAACACTTCCTGGCTGGTAACTGTACTGGACCAATGAAAGGAGAGGGCAGGAGGGATTTATTCTGCCATAAAACTGAAAAAAGTGTTCTCTCTGCTCCCCACGTCCTGTCAAGAGATGGAATGTTCTGGGATTTCCATTTTCCTCCCCTTCCCTGGTCTGTATGTTAAGATGACAGGGTGTGACATACAGTGGTTCTAGAGGTTCAGGATTGCACCCTGCCTGGCAGACACTGTGATTTTTTGAGGAGGAAAAGCCTGGAGCCCTTGTGCTTTCTTCTCTATCCCCACAACTGAAGGAGGGCACTTTGCTAAGGGCATGGGGTCACTGTACTATGGGTGGCAGTCCACCCCCAGGGAGACCAGGTCATGATGCATCTGGAGGCTGCAGCTGTGGGGCAGGGTGAGACCAGTTCAGGGACTCCAGTGTTTCTGCCTGCAATGGGCAGCCAGGGCTGATGAAGTGCATAGCCAGACGCCAGCTTTGCTGGGCCTACAGAGCCTCCTTCTGCTACTGGGCCGAATGGGAGAAAGCAGGTAGGGAAGATTAAGAGGACAGGGTCAGGCTGCACACAGTAGTGCACACCTGTAATCCCAGCAGCTTGGGAGGCTGAGGCAGGAGGATCATGAGTTGAAAGCCAGCCTCAGCAAAAGTGAGGCATTAAGCAACTCAGTGAGTCCCTGTCTCTAAATAAAATACAAAATAGGGCTGGGGATGTGGCTTAGTGGTCAAGTATTCTTGAGTTCAATCACTGGTAGCCCTCCCCCCCCAAAAAAAGAGGACAGGTCAAAGGCAGGGACTGCCCAGGTAGGCTCTTGATTCTGTAGCCCAATCAGGATTTACTGAGTGCTGCTGAGCCAGGCATGCCAGAGCCCTCTGCACACTCTGGGAAGGGGTCCCTTCTCATAGACCAGGATACTGCTGAAAGAAGGGTGCAACCTGCCTCAGCTGCACAGCCCAGCAGTTGGTTCAATGCTCAACCAAGCAGCCGGCCTTGGGGCCTTACCTGGATGGCAGGCACGAGGGTGAAGTAGCCAATGAGGATGATGCCCAACTCAGTTGCCATATTCTTCATGATGGACCAGCTCTCGTTGCTAAGGCCTGCAGAGGGCAATAACGGCATGGATGGGGGCAATATAGGACCTCCCTGTGCTCCGTGTCTGCACACCACCTCATGGTCCACAGAAGGGCAGAGGCATGGGGAGGGGGCCCAGCCCACTGAAGCTACAGGGCAGAGCTACAGCCATTAGAGGGAGAAGCAGGGTCCTGAGGAAAGGCAAGGATCACCACTCTAAGCACACAGAACCTCCATGTGCTTATCCTGTCTGGTCAGCATGGGTGACCTCAGCGTGCCCACCAGTGGCAGAGTGGCTGGAGTGGAGGACTAGCTGGCTCTTCCATGGCAAGTCCCTGGTCCCCACACTATCACACTGTTGCCTCGATAAGGCTCTGAGTGCTATGGGGTAGGGACTATTTCGCCTCATCTCTTCAGGACCCCTGTGCAGGGTCTGGCCTGTTAGACACTCACAGAGGTTGGATGAATGAATGAATGAACAGCCAGTCTCCAGCCTGTTCCTCACATACATGGGCTTTAGGAAGAGGCTGCTCAAGAGACCAGACATCCCGGGACAGGCTCTTGCTTTTCTCACTTTTCACAGAACTCCCAATCCCCAGCTCCCCACTGTGAGGTCAGCTGTAGAGGCAGCACTTCCAGAGTGACAGCCCAGGCACCTGGCGTAGTGTGATAGAGTGAGGCAGGAAAACACTAGCACTGGTCCAGATGCAAGGTCACCACCAACCATGACCTCTGCAGCAGAGTCTGGTTTCCTCTCTTACTGACCCATGAACCAGGACAAGCAGTGTCCAGTGACACCATGGTTCCTTGGGGCACCTGGTAACAAGCTGTCCAGGCCTGCTGGCCTGCTGAGTGCTATGTTGGCAGCCAGAGCTGGGCAGATTCCAAGGGCTCCATCTCCTCAGGGGAACACTAGCAAGAGGAACAGGGCCCCACGTGTTACCTTGGGCAATCCGCAGCTTCACCTCGAGGTCCACTGGGGTCGAGACCACCGACTTAGTGAGCACCAGCACATTCTCTAGCCCGATAACCACCACCAGGTATGGGAAGATCTCACTGGGAATGGAGGAGATGGTGAGGGACAGTGCTGTGGCAGGCTCCCAAATAGTGCTGGTTTTCACAGGGTTCGAGCCTCAGGAGGCTCCGGGGTTTCCAGCTTGTAGTGGAGGTTGCCGAGCAGCTCCCACAGGCACAGGGTGAAACCCTCCCTGCCTTGCCCTCACACGCCAGGGCCTCTGTCCGTATAGCTCTCGGCTTTTAGGCAGGTCCAAAGCCTTGCCAAGGCACCAACAATCATGCCAGTCCTCCCACCAGCACAGGAGGAGGCTGGAGGTGGCCCCTGGGGAGAGCGACCGTCCCACTGCCAGGCCATGCAGACTCTGCTGGCTAGAGCAGTGACTGCCACCAAGACCCACACAACAACTCCAGGCCCAGCCACCATCTGAACTAAAGGAAAGGGTAAAAAACGACCTAAAGCCTTTGCTCACAAGCTGCATTTGGAGAACAACAACTGCTCCTAAAGGACACCTCCAGGTAGCTGAGCCAGGGTCACGCTACTCCTGACAGACTCCAAGAAGATGGAAGTGAGGAGAGGTCTCAGGCAGGGATGAGAGAAAGGAAAGGAGAGAGAAAGGCTTGGGAAAGGAAGTAGGAGTTCCACTGACAAGGGAAGTGACAGAAACAACACAAAGCCACTCTTCTGTAGAGTGCTTGCCTGGCACATGCGAAACCCTGAGTTCTATCCTCCAAACCACAAAATAAATGGAAGGAAGGAAGGGAGTGGGTAAGGGAGGGAAGAGGGACCATTGGTCATTTTTGCTATAATCAGGCAGATAAGCCTAGATCAGGGACGGACCAGGGGGTCAGTAACACTAACAGGCAGGCAGAGCCAGTCAGAGAGGAGGGGACCAAAGCCTGAGAACAAACAGGGGAGGGCTTCCAGACTGACTCACAGAGGAAAAGCAAGGGCAGAACAAATACTACTGACAAAGGTGACGAGTCACAGTATTCTCATGTCTTTGACAAAGCTCACTCTAAGCCTACTCTCTGGGCATTTTAAATCTCTTAACAGTGAAAAGAAATGTACCTTTCACACCCTTCTGTGGCAAAAGCCGCCAAGAAGGGTGTGTGTGTGTGTGTGTGTGTGTGTGTGTGTGTGTGTGTGTAATACAAACACATCCATTACACATATGCACTATATACCCATGGATACACAAAATATATATTCCATATATACACAAAATCATATAAGCAAACACACCTGTGTATATATTATATGTATAGATACACACTATATACACACGTATGGATACAAACCAGCCCCTGGCCCTTCTTAACTGATCCCCTGGGAGCTTAAAGAGAAAGAATATGTACCTCTTAAAGGTAAAAAATTGCAAAGTGAAGACATTGGGGAACAGCAAGTGTCCAGTCCAGGGAGGGCCAAGTGCCCAGATGTGCAAGGTTCTCTGGCCTGAGGGCCCCCCTGTGGCCCAGTGGAACCTGCTGGGGACCTACCCGCCATTGAGGGTGGGCGTCAGGCCGAAGAGAGTGCAGAGCCCCACAGACATGAGTAGTGAGCTGAGCACCGTGACCACAGCGGCTAGGGCCAGGCCCCACTTGGACTTGACCATGTCGATCTTGCCTGGAGGGCAGAGAGGGCACATCAGGGCAGCACCTCCCCCAGCCCCTGGCCCTTCTTAACTGATCCCCTGGGAGCAGAATCTGCCCTGACAATCAAGGAAAGAGGTTCCTGGTTTAACCACGAGAAAGGGACAGTCACAGACACTTCCCAGTCTCGTGCACTTGACATACTCTTTGGGAACTCTAATTCAGGAAGCGTCTTTCCCTAAGAAGTAAGAGGAGCCCTGGACCCACCTGAGCCCCTGAGACTCTAGCTTTAGCATTTCCACATCTCTACCCCAAGCCCCACCAGAGGCAGGGAAGTGGGTGATGTAGAGACGCTCCCCGCCATGGACCTACGTGTGGAGAAGTAGATGTAGGCAAACAGGATGATGTAGGTGGTCACAAGGGGAATGAGCTCAGCGATCCCAATCTCCTCCTTGAAGTGCACATGGACCAGGCTCTCTGCACGAAGGCTGCAATTGGGGCTGGGATGCAGGAGCATGAGACGGGCACGCAGGCTGCCCAGAAACCTGGAGACGAGAAAATCTCTGGAGGGGTCCTTCTAGGCCTCTCTCCCCCATGCCGGGAAGAAACTTCTCTAAGGTTCTAAGCTTCCTCATAGTCTCCAGGGGTGTTGGAAGAATTACAAAGCTGGCCACGTTGTCTCAGGATCTCCCCGTCCTTCCCTGATCTATTATGCCACTCCGATCACCAAAGGCCCAGGAGGCTCAACTGGAGGCCCCTCAAGTGTCCTTTCAACTGAGGAGGGCCGCCTGCTGTGCTCCATGGGGGAGGACTCAGCAGTTATCTGCTGGGGCTGCCTGCCTCGCCTGGAGAGAACTGGAGGAGACACAGGGACACTGAACTATTAGCCTGCTTCAGTCCCTTGTTCTTGGCCAGCCATCCAGCCATCCCCATTTGAATGCAGCAAACAACATCCTTTGCTCTAAGGGATATAACATTTTACCAGGAGGCCAAAACACTATCCAAGTTGTCAGGGGACACTGTAAGCAGAACAGGGGCCTCTCAGCCTCGTGTCACCATGGAGCAGTCAGAACCCAGAGCCTGATGGCCTTACTTGGCATGGTAGCGCTGGAAGACCAGGGTGATAGTGTAGGAGACCATCCTCTTCCTTGTGTAGAGGCTCACCCCGCTGTACTTCCCAGGAACGCCAAACAGCAAGTCTGCGGGCAGAGACCAATGGGCACTGACAAGGAATGGCAGCCACTGCAGGGCCACCAAGGGCCCTTCCCCACCCCCACCCTTGGAGTAAGGGCAACCCCTGATCTGCCAGAGCACCCATCACAGGAGAGATAGTGGCCAACAGGCTCCCTCGTGGGTCCTCAGGGAACCTGTGCTGGGGTACCCTTGAGTGTGGCTGAAGTCTGCAGTGTTTTGGGCTCATGCTGGTGGATGGTGCCAATGATGTCAGGGTCAGCATGGAAGCGTTCCCGGTCATTCTGCCAGAAGTTCCCAGGGGACAGCAGTAGGCAGCCATGCTCAGGGAGTAGGTTCCGGAGTTTCTTAAGGCCTGGCAGCAGGTCGGTCACCTGAAGGCACACCTCCTCCAGGCTCCTGGTCCCAGAGCTGTTCAGGAGACAGGACAAGGTATCTGCCGTGCCCGCCAGCGCAGGGCAGGCCCACCGCACTTAGGGAGCACCTCTGCCATCAGGGGAAAGTACTGCCAGGGGGTCAACAACCAAACCACGTGGCTGCCTGGGCTTCCAAGTGAACATGGAGCCCACATCGCCTCCAAGGAGAGGAGGACGTGGAAGAACAGGCACAGCCCCCACAATAGCCAATTTAGTGGGCAAGGCGGGAATAGGGAGAAATTTAGGGTGTTATTTAGTTCACCAAAATCCTTGTCAAAGTCATCAGCTAACTAAAACCAGGTAGTGACGGCCTGCGAAGTCAGAGTGCTCCAGAGGCCGGGAAGTGGGCTGGGAAGTGGGCCCTGGGTTAAGGTTTCTGAAGATGTCCCCAGTTGGAGCTCGCTTCTTGTTATCAGAGCCATTATGACATTCACATCTAACAACGGAGAGATGAGAAGCCACATGAGTCATGAGTCCTTAGCGAGCTCACCAGAGGCAGGCCTATGAGCACGCACTCTAAGATGTGAGGATCGGGGCTCTAATTGTGCCATCTGCACAGCCCAGGGGGAATGCAGCCACAGTGGACCCACAAGAATGTAGAAAAGTTCAGAGCAGGCTCCCCTCATCCTCTTGTCTGTTCTATTTCTGCAGAGCTAGCTGGCTCGCTGGAGTTATACTGAGGGCTGTAATGCTCACTTCAGTTCAGAAGGGGTCTAGGGGGGTTCCTGACAGGGGTACCTGTCTCTCAGCACGTGATTCCGGATCTCCTCCACCAGCTGGAATGCCCGGGACAGAGGTGAGCGGAACACATCTACTGCCAGAAGGTTCTTGTGCCAGGGAGACACTGAGGACTTCACAAATATTTGCTGGATGTAAGCCACAGGGGAACCCACATACTGCAGAAGAAATGGGGGCAGAGCAGGAAGGTCAGCTCAGCACAGGAGAGAGAAACATGGGCCCACATCCAGAAAGGACTTACTGAGCAACTGTCTGAGCACAGCACTGTGGGACCCACTGTCAGCAAGCTGTGATGCACAGGCCAAATCAGGGCCCGGGCTTGTTCCTCTCAATCAAGTTTCCGAGAACACTGTCCCCAACTTTCCATTACTGTCTCTGGATGCTCCCATGCTTCGGTGGCAGAGCTGAATGCAACAGAGGCTGTGTGGTCGGCAAAGCCTAAAATGCTCACTATGTAGCTTTTGAGAAATTTGTGCAATAAACTATCAGCTCCCAAAAAGATGCAGCCTGTGTCACTGATCCAGGTTTCGCACACACAGCACAGCAATGGGCTGCGAGGATCAAAAGACCCCATTTAAATTCTGGCTCTCTAACTACATGGTCTTGGAAGAGCGCTGAACTTCTCTGGGTTCCGTCTTCCTCATTGTGGAAGAGGGATGACAACGTTCTCCTGCAGCATCCAGAGGTCCTCACCTGCCTCCCTCACACAAATACACACAGGAATATAAATGGCACATGCAGAGATAAGTAGTCACAGAAATGGCAGTAATAAACAGCAGGGCACATCATTCTGTCTGGCCCCACGACAATCCGACCTGTTCAGTGCCTGTCGGGGGTTTCAGAACTAGACAGGGACTCAAACACAGGTCTCCCCACTACACTTTCTCAGTAGAACCTGCTGTCTACTCTCACAGAGTGTACAAAAGTCATGTAGTGACAAGTGTGTGCAAGCCCCAGTGACAGGCATCGTCAGAATGCACCCCTAAAATACATGCTAGGTCAGCTGTGGCCGAGTGGCTGTGAGGATGAGGGAGGGAGGGCATCTGATGGATGAACAAAGGGCACTAAGAGCACAGAGGCCTGGATGGCACAAGACAGATCAGCAGGGAATGAAGGAAATCACAGGGAAACTGAGGTGGGCTAGGACCAAGCCTGGCTCAGCCGTCTGCACTGTAACAGGTAACAAAGAAAAACCCAACCAGGCGCAGTGACGCACTCCTATAATGCCAGGGATTTGGGAGGATGAGGCAGGAGGACCACAAGCTTGAGGCCAGCCTGAGCAACCTAGTGAGACCCTGTGCCAAAATGAAAATGGAAAGATCTGGGGTAGTGGCTCAGTGGTACAGCACCCCTGGGTTCAACCCCCAGCACCCAAAGGAAAGGAAAAGGGCCAAGTGACTCTGAATTGCGGGGGCAACCTGATCTGATGAAAGCAGGCCCTAGAGGTCCTGTCAACTGGAGGCAGAGAAAGAGACAGGCCAGAGGGACTGCCTGGCTGAGGAATGAGGGGCTGACTCCACGCCTATGCCACAGTCAGAAGCGCCACAGCACATGTGTGTGGATGGCAAGAAGGCCACAGAGCCACTGAATGGTGCCATACTCCAGCGACTTCAGGGGCAAGGGTCAGGACGCTGACCTAGGAGGACAGCAAGTCAGCACCCCTGGGCACAAAGGGACAACATAATCTGGGGCTCTGTGACTTTGAGTTCATGACCCTGTGTCAGTGAGGGCTCTGGGGATGGAAGGCCTCACTTGCTGTCTTCTGTACCACACTCAGACCACCAGAAGTCACCAGAGGAACTGAGACACCTGGAGAGAACAGGCTGCCAGGCTCTGAGTGAAGCAGCAGCCCACGGGCTCACACTCTACCTGTGGGAGAAGGAGCTGCCCAGAAGGGGGAGCTCTGAAAGAGGAGCCATCCCACAGGGTCACCTCTCAAACCTGTGAAGGACACAGATTATTCCCACTGGCACAAGGCTGTGACTGCACACATCACCTCCTGTGCCCACCTCATCTTTCAGACCCTCCACCCACCCACCAGCTTATCAAGCCTGTGCAACTGAGCCAAGTCCATCCCAGGCCAGGACAGCTCCAGGGTCCTCCAATGCTCTTCAGCCTCCCTCGAACCCAGGACCACGGGGGCCAGGATTTCATCAAAGTGCTAATGAACATATTTCAGAACCAGAAATCTCAATCTAAGGACAGGCTCCAGGGTTCTCTGGGGACCCTGCTCCGCAAGTTTATTCCAATTTCTGCTTGGAAGTGCACACACTGTCACTACCATCATCATTTTTAGCAGGGGAGTGCCACAGACTTCATCAGATTTTTCTAGGAATATGTTACTCCTTTGCCTTAGACATCGCTTTCTCCTTTGACTTTCCACCCAAACTCCCTGCAGCTCCTATGTCTGCTCCTCCAGGGGGAAAGCCTGCCCAGATGGGAACCAGATACACATGGGACTTCCGCACAGGCTTGCTCTCCAGCTTGGCCAGGCCTCCTCCTGCTGGCCAGGGCTTGATTCATCTCCACTGACATCCAACGGAACCTTCCAAGCAGGGATTCCACATCTATCTAGCTCTTTCAAGATCTTGGCCCGATCGTTTATCATCAACTCGCCATCCAACATGTGTGCCTGCAAGTTCCCTCTTCTGGGTATGAAAATTCTCTTATGGCTGCGCATGCTGGTGCATGCCCAATAGTCCTAGAGGCTCAGGAGGCTGAGGCAGGAGGATCATACAAGTTCAAGGCCAACCTGGACAACTTAGCGAAACCCTGTCTCAGGTTAAAAAATAAAAAAGGCTGGGGATAGTTCAGTGGTAAAGCATCCCGGGTTCAATTTCTAGTACCCCCCCAAAAAAAAAAAAAACCTCTTTTGGTGATTTATTCCATAGGATTGGCTTATCGCTTGTCACTACCTTAGTTTGAGTGCCCCCAGAAGCAGATCCTAAGATGAGTTTACCTGGGCAGTGTAGGAAACAGGGAAGGGAGACAGTTGACAAAGGATGTGTTAAAAGCCTGGCACAGGGCTGGGGATGTGGCTCGAGCGGTAGCGCGCCCACCTGGCATGCGTGTGGCCCGGGTTCGATCCTCAGCACCACATACAAAGATGTTGTGTCTGCCGAAAGCTAAAAAATAAATATTAAAAAATTCTCTCTCTCTTAAAAAAAAAAAAAAAAAAAAAAGAGCCTGGCCCAGGGGCTGGAGTTGTGGCTCAGTGGTACAGCACTTGCCTCGCACGTGAGAGACCCTGGTTTCGATCCTCAGCACCACATAAGCACCATATAAAAATAAGTAAACAAAATAAAGATATGTGTCAATGTATAACTTAAAAAAAAAAAAAAGAGCCAGGCACAGTGTGCACATCTGTAATCCCCGTCACTTGGGAGGCTAAGGCAGGAGGATCATAAATTCAAGGCCACCATAGGCAACTTGGTGTCTCAAAAATAAAAAGGGTGGGGGGCGTAGCTCAGTACTAAAGAGCCCTGGGGTTTCATTTTGAGCACAAAAAACAAACCAACCAACCTGGGGTGTTGAGTGAGTGATCTCTGGGGATACCTGAGGGACAAAAGGGTTACCTGCTGGCTCCTGCACTTACCGGTTGGGGACTGTTTCTGGGGGCATGAATTCTCAAGCACCTCAGGCCTCTGAACCTAAGATCCTCTGAGAATAAGAGGTAGATGCTCATGGAGGGAAGGGAGGGAGACTCTAAAATGGCAGTGAAGATGTGGCAGGGCCCACCACTCAATGTCCCTACCTGACACTCAAGTGAGAAACAGACTTGGCCACAGATGAAATATGGTATCCTATTTAGGATAAGGACCTAAGGATAGAGGAGGCATAAGGACCAACAGAATCCAGGTATCCTGTGCAGAAAGGGGTTCCTGAGCTGTGCATGGTGGTGCACACCTGAAACCCCAGCAACTTCAAGGCCAGTCTCAACAACTTAGCAAAACCCTCAGTCATTTAGAAAGACCCTGCCTCAAAATAAAAAATAAAAAGGGCTGGGGATGTAGATCAGTGGTTAAGTGCCCTGGGTTCAATCCCCAATACCAAAACAAAAGGGGGGGGGCACTTATGGCTACATGGGAGCAGTGTAAGTAGCCTTCTAACATGTCCCCAATAAATTGTGCTTCCTGCAGTTCATGCTCTTGTGTGATCCCATCCCTTAAAAAGCAGGCTGAATCTACTGATACGCTTTTAACAAACAATACACCACAGTGATGTCACTTTTGAGATTAGGTTACAAAACACTGACTAATCACCCCTCTTTTGGAACCACTGCCTGATGAAATCAGATGCCATATTGTGAGTAAGGAACCAAGGAGAGCCTTTCTCCAACATCCAGTGAGGAAGGACTCAGCTCAACAGTCTGCAAGGACCTGCTGACAGCCAGCCTGTGAGTGAGCATGGAGGAAGAGCTCTGGAGATTACTATAGCCTGAGGACCAGATAAGAAAACCCAGGCTCAGAGATAAAAGATGTGTTCAAGGTCATACAGCTGATAGCAAGCAGAGACAGGATTAAAAACCAGGGCTGTGATTCTCAAGGCTTGTTTTTTCCTCTACAGCCACCTCCCTGAGCAGTTCTGAAGTGCTCATGGAGACCAGGCTAAGGAAGCAAAGGCCCAGCATGAGCATCGTGGGGAGAAAATGAGGTCCTGGGGGCCAGCAGGGCCTCTTGGGCCACTACCACTTACAGCATGAAACCCCTGCTCAGGGTTTCTGAGGAAGTCTGTGTCCAGGTTCAGGCAGCCACCACAGATACCGCAACACTAGCCTTGGAAGCCCAGCATGGAACAAACTCAGCCACCCCCGTGGACTGCTAGGTGGCACCTGGTGTACGCTTCAGGTTTCCACAACAGGCTGGCCTAGGAGAGCCAGGACAGTGCAGGAGACCTGAGTATGTCCTCAAATTTTATTTTCTAGGCTGAGTGTGGTGGCTCACACATGTAATCCCAGTAACTCAAGAGGCTGAGGCAGGAGGATCAAAACTTCAAAACCATCCTCATCAATTTAGTGAGACCCTAGCAACTTAGTGAGACTCTATCTCAAAAAAAGAAAGGCTCAGTGGAAAAGTACCTTGGGTTCAAACCCCAGTACCACCCCCCACACACACACAAAAAAAAATTATTTTCTTTTTCTAAATTTAAGTACAATCCT